GTGATTACTGTCACACAAAGGGAACTGTTACTAGGTATTTGTATCTGTGATTACTGTCACACATGGGGAACTGTTACTGGATATTTGTATCTGTGATTACTGTCACACATGGGGAACTGTTACTAGGTATTTGTATCTGTGATTATTGTCACACATGGGGAACTGTTATTGGATATTTGTATCTGTGATTACTGTCACACATGGGGAACTGTTACTAGGTATTTGTATCTGTGATTACTGTCACACAAAGGGAACTGTTACTAGGTATTTGTATCTGTGATTACTGTCACACATGGGGAACTGTTACTAGGTATTTGTATCTGTGATTAATGTCACACATGGGGAACTGTTACTAGGTATTTGTATCTGTGATTACTGTCACACATGGGGAACTGTTACTAGGTATTTGTATCTGTGATTACTGTCACACATGGGGAACTGTTACTGGATATTTGTATCTGTGATTACTGTCACACATGGGGAACTGTTACTAGGTATTTGTATCTGTGATTACTGTCACACATGGGGAACTGTTACTAGGTATTTGTATCTGTGATTACTGTCATACATAGTTTCAATAAACCATCAAACTAGTCAGGAGGAACACAATATTACATTACAAAAAAAAGAAGACATTTGCCATTTATATATAATTACAAAGTTGATCGGCACAATACTCTGATTAAATATTGAAAATAAAAACTTGTACTAAGATGCATTTGGAATTCAACAATCTGGATAACAAAAGTATGATGATATACAAAATGTGGATTAGGATCAAATGATTAAAATCACGGTTGAGTGAGATGTTATATAAAAGGAGTCATGAAAACAGTTTGGATTCCTGATATGGATAGAAAAGTTTGGCAGATTATGAGTAAAGAGATGACATATGGATTAAAATATCTAAAAAATTAAAGAAAGAAAAAAGGTAAGGAGAGGGAGGGGGAATGAAAATGATACGAATGCTGAAACAGACAACAACTATATAAGAAAGTGGATGCATAAATATAGAGATGAAAACAATACAGGTGACAATTTTATCTCAAATATTTCTCACAAATCAAATTGATTCAATGAAAATTTGTAATTGAAAATACAACAAGGGAGACAATGGTAACATTGACATGTACAACCTTTCATCAAACAAAAAAAATCTGTCCACTCAAAACAAAACCTGGTAATTTTACAATTCAGAATTAAAATCCATTTAACAAAAGTCCATTCAGTACAATATTCAAAGGGCAAGTTTGTAATTCATGGCTATCACTATTTGGGCAATCAGCACGCAAAGTTGAAATAACAAATTCTTGAAATTGAAATAAAATTATACCAATTCCCAAGCTTAAGTAATGAGAAAAGCACAAGGGCCGTCAATATTCTGGAAAACAACTTTCCCTTAACTTCCTGGAACAGAAAACTCAAATATCAAAGACAGGTTCCTAGCAAGGTACATTTCATTGTGATGTGTAACCTTACTTCTATGTTTGGATATTTAAATAAAATGGAGAGATGTTGTGCCTTAATCTGTCGTTACAAATGTAGTGATGTTTTGTTGATATTCCTATATAATTCAAACATGTTTATAAATAGAATTAACATTAGCTACACATTTCTATAAATTGGCTTCCTTATGGAAACTTTGAGACAATTTCTTCTAGCATATAAATCCTCCTTGATACTCCAGGGTTACACTCGCTATCACTCTATGCACTCTTGGAACATGGAACATTTCTTAACAAAATCGACGGTTTCTTATGAAAACCTTGTGGACCAGACGAAAAAAACAAGTTTAATCTTTTGATGTATATCAGACAAATGTTCAGTTCGTTTAACAGTATGTTTTACTAGAATCAAAGTTGGGTGTTTCTCTTTGTAATCTTTAAAAAAGAGTATCAGTTTGTGGTTGGTCGGTTTTTTTTCTCCGGACACCTGCTCTCCACCAATGACCAATCGTATCACTTCACCTGTATCGGCTATTTTGCCATCAATTGTTTCAGGTGTACAGAGAAGGAAAGTGATCATTACCCCTGGAATGTTGAGGATGGAGTATATACAGAATGCTCTAACAGCATACCTTTACAAATATAATCAAATATGGTACAGCTAATTAAAAATTTAATGTTCATCAGTTTTTAAAATATCTTGAAAAAATATGCATGTTAAATTTCTTTCTCAAGTCATAACACACTCTTTGGAATTGGATTGCAACTTGGATAAGACAGTGTGAATATCTGTATTAGTTTGGAGAAAATTATAAACATCGATAAGTTTTTACTCAAAATCTGCTGCTCTAGTAAAACAAAATAACACTCATATGTTATAATGATTGAATACTAAAACATCTGTACAGGTGACCAAATTCTGGACATCACAGCTTTTATAATTTTGTTTTAAGACATGGTTTTGTTTGATCTGTTTATATCTGTAGATGTTACCTAAGGAATTTCAATGGTTTCTTCATTTGTGATAACAAGCTATTTGCTGGTTATGACTTTTACATTTTTTCTCAAAGATTATTTGATAAACTGATGTGAAATTCTTTGCTATGAAACTGATACATCTTTCACACCACATATATAGACTTTCATTACACCTACCAAGTGTTAGGATAATTAAGACCAGATGGATGAAACACCAGACTGATGCTATGTTGGTACTGGATACCTAATACACTAACATAAAATCTGGTGTTGAAAGCTTGTGTCTATAAAATGGAGCCTTGTCTCACACCACTTCATTAACTCATAATTTAGAGTAGAAATACAAGGTCTCAAAAAGGAGCCTTGTCTCACACCTAATACTAACTCAAACATGGTTCATACCTAATTTTTCAGCATTATCTGTATGAGGGCCTTATTCAATCAATCTGAACATCGACCAATGGTGTTGTTTTATCAAAATGAGTAAATCATTTTGTACTACACAAAATATGATAAATGGTGTTGTTGTGATATCTAAAATCCATAAAATGATCTGCAATATAATTTTGAAATGTGTCATCACTCAAATATCTTAAGGCTTAAGCAGTCAGAAATTTAGTGGTTTAATGTTCAACAAGGCTCAAAGTTTGGGAAAGACGCCATCAAAAGCTTAAAGGTAGCACTATTTTATGTTTTGTACATACTACTCCTTACACCCCAAACTGACTTGGAGTTTCAATTACAAATTTATGTAACTTAATTTCTGACAGTATCAAATCATCTCCAGTACTCCAGCTTTGACAAATAAATATAAAACCTATTTTAAAATCAGGGAAAATTGACTTGTTCTATTAATTTTCCTTAAAATCCATTTTTGACAGAAATTTGTAATCTCATTTATTGATGTTAATGAAGAAGATTAAGATTATTGGTTCCACTATATCAATCTTGTCTTTTCAAAAACTTTGAAATTAAATGAGGTAAGTTAAAAAAAAATCCTTACATAACTATCTATATATTCCAACATTGTGAAGGTTTTGTTCTAGGTGTCTACAGCATTAATGATAGTTTTGACACAAATTCTACAGTTTACAAAATACGTATGTTTGAAATTTGTGTAAAGTCGTTACATAAACATCAAGCTATCAAATTATGAATCATGAGAAAAGCAATACAAAGCTCAGAACTTTGATATCCATTGATTATGTGGTTGCCACAGTCTCTACTGTAGTTCTGTATCTAATGGGTACCAGCTTTTCCTTGGCACCAGATTTCTTGTGTACCAGCTATTCCTTGGCACCAGATTTCTTGTGTACCAGCTATTCCTTGGCACCAGATTTCTTGTGTACCAGCTATTCCTTGGCACCAGATTTCTTGTGTACCAGCTATTCCTTGGTACCAGATTTCCTGGGTACCAGCTTTTCCTTGGCACCAGATTTCCTGGGTACCAGCTTTTCCTTGGTACCAGATTTCCTGGGTACCAGCTTTTCTTTGGCAACATATTTCCTGGGTACCAGCTATTCCTTGGCAACAGATTTCCTGGGTACCATCTTTTCCTTGGTACCAGATTTCCTGGGTACCAGCTTTTCCTTGGCACCAGGTTTTGCTTGGTATCAGATTTCTTGTGTACAAGCTATTCCTTGGCAACAGATTTCCTGGGTACCATCTTTTCCTTGGTACCAGATTTCTTGGGTACCAGCTTTTCCTTGGCACCAGGTTTTGCTTGGTATCAGATTTCTTGTGTACCAGCTATTCCTTGGCAACAGATTTCCTGGGTACCAGTTTTTCCTACGTAATTACAGCGAGTAGCTGGTAAACATGTTGTAACAGTGTAATACACAGTGGTCTTATTAAAATTAATCATCTGAAGACTTTTTACATTTGGCAGTGTACATTGAAATATTAGTTATTTTAACCTTCATCAAGAAATCTTTTTTCTCAAGAGAGGGTAATGATTGGTATACGTTTAAATAAATAGAACAAAATATCCACAACTTTGCTGTAAAAACCAATGTCACATGGTGTAAGTGTATCATTTGTCCTAGGGAGATCACTACTTCACGGAAACACAATTAAGGTTGATTACATTCTACCTGTAGATAATTTTCATGACAGATTCTAAGTAGAAAAACATCTGATATTATATCTTATTCTCATGGCTGTTTCTTCCATGGGGAAATTTACTTCAGATAAAAGATCCAATGCACTCATTATGTACACAGCATTTGAAATATTCCATAATCAATCCAAAGGGGAGTCACTCTTGATGGCGTTCTATATGTACATGTGTTTGTTTGAATAAAAACAATCACTGACAAATCCAGTATCCATCCTCTAGAATATTCCAGCTCTCATACCTTGAAGAAAACTTCCAAGCAAAAACAAGTTGCCTCATCCCCGAATCACTCATCAAGGGAAATAACTCCTTCTAAAACATTTTCCGAGGGATAAATCACTAAATGTTGAATCATAGAGAACTAATTTCCATTAAATATAACTATCAACCAATAATGAAATCTCTTTCACAATAGAGAATGAAAACCTTCAACCTAGTGAAATGTCTGGAAAGGACTTGTGCTATAAGTTGACAGGAAGTGAAACCTTGTCGGTGCCTTGACTATAAGTGACACTTGTACTGTTATTAGAACGATTGGACTTTCCCGACCGAGAGCTTGTCGGCGTACATGAGCGATGATATGATGGTGGCTGTGATTGTGAATGTGAGGAGTATGCGCTGTTAGCAGAGTTTGTGAATCCTTCACGATACGCTGAATAGATGGCGCTGTGGTTTGGCGACTGGAACACAGGCTGCATGGGGTAGTATCCTTGGTGCATGTGACCAGCAAATGGAACCTGGCGGCCTGAAAATGTGATAAGAATTTTATGAGAAAAGTTAAGATTTTTACCTTATGAATATATGTAGCAGAAAAATTATTCTAAATTAAGACATCCAATTGTCCACAAGTTCTGTTTACAATGATAAGCCCATGCTCTGTAGTAAATCCAGTCGTTCCTCTATTACAAGAACAGAACACTTTTTTCTGTTGATATGTTGGCCCTTTGTTTATTTCAGGATAAGTACTGGAATCTTAATTGACCATATTTATCTGGCAAAAAGCAAAATGTTTGATCAATTTTCTAAGAAAGAGTAAAAGAGCAAAAACCAAATCCTACAAATACCTAGAAATGATGACAAAACAATGACAGGACAGCTATTATGATGATAGGGTCATCAAATTATTCATATGAGTGGTTACCGAGGATTACATTATAGGTCCTGGCCATCTGATGGTGGGGGACATGAAATTGTTGGTATGAGTGGTTACCGAGGGTTACATTATATGTCCTGGCCATCTGATGGTGGGGGACATGAAATTGTTTGTATGAGTGGTTACCGAGGGTTACATTATATGTCCTGGCCATCTGATGGTGGGGGACATGAAATTGTTTGTATGAGTGGTTACCGAGGGTTACATTATATGTCCTGGCCATCTGATGGTGGGGGACATGAAATTGTTTGTATGAGTGGTTACCGAGGGTTACATTATATGTCCTGGCCATCTGATGGTGGGGGACATGAAATTGTTTGTATGAGTGGTTACCGAGGGTTACATTATATGTCCTGGCCATCTGATGGTGGGGGACATGAAATTGTTTGTATGAGTGGTTACCGAGGGTTACATTATATGTCCTGGCCATCTGATGGTGGGGGACATGAAATTGTTTGTATGAGTGGTTACCGAGGGTTACATTATATGTCCTGGCCATCTGATGGTAGGGGACATGAAATTGTTTGTATGAGTGGTTACCGAGGGTTACATTATATGTCCTGGCCATCTGATGGTGGGGGACATGAAATTGTTTGTATGAGTGGTTACCGAGGGTTACATTATATGTCCTGGCCATCTGATGGTGGGGGACATGAAATTGTTTGTATGAGTGGTTACCGAGGGTTACATTATATGTCCTGGCCATCTGATGGTGGGGGACATGAAATTGTTTGTATGAGTGGTTACCGAGGGTTACATTATATGTCCTGGCCATCTGATGGTGGGGGACATGAAATTGTTTGTATGAGTGGTTACCGAGGGTTACATTATATGTCCTGGCCATTTGATGGTAGGGGACATGAAATTGTTTGTATGAGGGGTTACCAAGGGTTACACCGTTTGCTCTAGTCATTTCATGGCATAGACATGGCATTTTTAGTTGAATGAACACTATCAAAATTCCCACTTACATAACACCATCAAAATTCCCACTTACATAACACCATTGAAATTCCCACTTGCTTAACACCATTGAAATTCCCACTTACATAACACCATCAAAATTCCCACTTACTTAACACCATCAAAATTCCCACTTACTTAATTAACACCATCAAAAATCCCACTTACTTAACACCATCAAAATTCCCACTTACTTAACACCATCAAAATTCCCACTTACTTAACACCATCAAAATTCCCACTTACATAACACCATTGAAATTCCCACTTACTTAACACCATTGAAATTCCTGATGGTACAATTGATCAATCATGGCTCAGACCATCACTCATTGATACATATTGAATGGCGCCGAGTTATTGATTGTCTTAAGAACTTCAAACAGTGCATGTTGTTCCATTTTAAAGGTAGGTTTTGTAGTTACGCCATGAAATCAAACAGACATGATTGAACAAAACCTTCAATATTCGAAGAAAACTTTTGAACTCTTGGCATGTCAGAGGCTTATAACTCAAGAAATCTGTTCTTATTAACTTGTCAGTGATTTCCTTTCTTTGATGACATTGAGTAAATACATAGAAAAGTCTGCAACAACTGCACTTGTTTATCAAAAGCCTTTTTGCCATTCAAACTGGCAAAATTTCTCCTTTCTGTGAAGTCATATTTGAGTGGATTTGAAAAAGGAATTAAAGAACATGATAATGGACCAATAATTTAGTTCTTACAGTACAGAATATGATTGTTTACTAAAGAGCTGCCTCACCAAAATCTTAATCAATGCGACTCACAAAAAGTGGTGAAATTCTTTGCTTAATCTTTAAAAGCAATTGTTTATTTGGTAAGGATATAAGGATATTTATATTTCTGAGAAGCTCAGATCAATGGCCACAAAGACAGCCTAAGTGCCCTTGATGTAACTTTGTTTTGAGGGTACAGTTTTACAGCCCAGTCTCAGTACCGTTGATGTAACTTTGTTTTGAGGGTACAGTTTTACAGCCCAGTCTCAGTACCGTTGATGTAACTTTGTTTGGAGGGTACAGTTTTACAGCCCAGTCTCAGTAACCTTGATGTAACTTTGTTTTGAGGGTACAGTTTTACAGCCCAGTCTCAGTACCGTTGATGTAACTTTGTTTGGAGGGTACAGTTTTACAGCCCAGTCTCAGTACCCTTGATGTAACTTTGTTTTGAGGGTACAGTTTTACAGCCCAGTCTCAGTACCCTTGATGTAACTTTGTTTTGAGGGTACAGTTTTACAGCCCAGTCTCAGTACCCTTGATGTAACTTTGTTTTGAGGGTACAGTTTTACAGCCCAGTCTCAGTACCGTTGATGTAACTTTGTTTGGAGGGTACAGTTTTACAGCCCAGTCTCAGTACCGTTGATGTAACTTTGTTTTGAGGGTACAGTTTTACAGCCCAGTCTCAGTACCGTTGATGTAACTTTGTTTTGAGGGTACAGTTTTACAGCCCAGTCTCAGTACCCTTGATGTAACTTTGTTTTGAGGGTACAGTTTTACATCCCAGTCTCAGTACCCTTGATGTAACTTTGTTTTGAGGGTACAGTTTTACAGCCCAGTCTCAGTACCCTTGATGTAACTTTGTTTTGAGGGTACAGTTTTACAGCCCAGTCTCAGTACCGTTGATGTAACTTTGTTTGGAGGGTACAGTTTTACAGCCCAGTCTCAGTACCCTTGATGTAACTTTGTTTTGAGGGTACAGTTTTACAGCCCAGTCTCAGTAACCTTGATGTAACTTTGTTTTGAGGGTACAGTTTTACAGCCTAGTCTCAAACTAACTTTATGGACATGACTAATACCGATATATATTAAATATGAGTTAACACATCAACATTCATTTAAATGATTTCCTTGTTTTAGGCAAATTTCTAAATGCACCTGTCATGATTTCAATGGGTTTATTTCAAGATTTGATGGATACCATCAATAAAATAGTGCTATTATCTAAATGTATATACATAAATCAGAAATATTATGTATAATTCAATGTTATTATGCATGTGACAAATAGTATTAAGATATATGCTTGTTGATAAACTACAGTCAGGAATTGGAAAACATTCACAAATGTTTATTTCAAATGACAACCATGCTCTTAGAAAAAACAGAAAGAGACAGAAAGCTATATCCCATTTCACTGATCTCACATAGATATCAATGAAAAATTAGCATCTAAACAGTACCAATGGGAGTCGCCATTCTGAATTAGTTATCACTGCATTCATCATGTTAAAATAAAAAAAATGAGTGCTACATTTTTTGTTACGAACTTGGACTAGTGTTGCTGATGGGTTACAATGATTTCAAAGAGACATTGGTTAGTTTGAAATAATAGCATCCCTGAAGGGATTTATGTTTTTCGTTGACTGCTCTGACAATGTGACTCAATATGTCAATATAACTTATGGTTGAGGAGGCAAAGTGGAAACAGAATGGCAAATATGCCATATCTCTACAGACTGCATGTCTCTCACATTGCTGTGCTGTTTGGTCTCAGACTGCATGTCTCTCACAATGTATTTCTGGACTCACAGACTGCATGTCTCTCACAATGCGGTTCTGGACTCACAGACTGTGTGTCTCTCACAATGCATCTCTGTTTGGTCTCACAGACTGCATGTCTCTCACAATGCAGCTCTGTTTGGTCTCACAGACTGTATGTCTCTCACAATGCAGCTCTGTTTGGTCTCACAGACTGCATGTCTCTAACAATGCAGCTCTGTTTGGTCTCACAGACTGCATGTCTCTCACAATGCAGCTCTGTTTGGTCTCACAGACTGCATGTCTCTCACAATGCAGCTCTGTTTGGTCTCACAGACTGCATGTCTCTCACAATGCAGCTCTGTTTGGTCTCACAGACTGCATGTCTCTCACAATGCATCTCTGTTTGGTCTCACAGACTGCATGTCTCTCACAATGCAGCTCTGTTTGGTCTCACAGACTGCATGTCTCTCACAATGCAGCTCTGTTTGGTCTCACAGACTGCATGTCTCTCACAATGTATTTCTGGACTCACAGACTGCATGTCTCTTACAATGCAGCTCTGTTTGGTCTCACAGACTGCATGTCTCTCACAATGCAGCTCTGTTTGGTCTCACAGACTGCATGTCTCTCACAATACAGCTCTGTTTGGTCTCACAGACTGCATGTCTCTAACAATGCAGCTCTGTTTGGTCTCAGACTGCATGTCTCTCACAGTGCAGTTCTGGACTCACAGACTGCATGTCTCTCACAATGCAGCTCTGTTTGGTCTCACAGACTGCATGTCTCGCACAATGCAGCACTGTTTAGACTCACTCCATCTGAACTTTATCAGACCTTCTCAAAATGATGTGTTTTAGTAATAAAGTCAGAAAAGTGAAGCACACTGATATCTGAAATATTGCTTACAAATGTTTTAAAATATCTGATATCTAACATACACGTAGATGAAATGTATCAATTCTTAATAGAAATTACTAAAAACAAACAAAAGAAATAAGATATTTCTCACATTACAATAACATTAATATGATACAGCATATATATGTTATGTGAGTCAGAATCAATGAAAAGGAAATAAAATATTTTTCTCTTACCATTGTTAATTTTACCTTGTAGGTTGTTCAGGTTGTTGTAATGAAGTGCGGGTGGGGCACCATTTGTCAGGACTGATGTTGGTGTTGTCGTCACAGCACTTGGTGTTGACGATGTGTCTTGTGCTGGCTTACATAGAATGCGTCGACAGCAACAGACGATGGACACAATACATACAATGACCACCAGAAGACTGCCCACGGTGATGGTCACTGAGGCGGTCACTCCAAGTGCCATGAACTGGTTTAAAAAACTCTCATCTGAAACATATCAGAAGTAGAAAATGCCTATCATTATTAGCTGATTTTGTTGTTTCCAACAAGTCAATTTGCTAAACTTTCCCAAACGATGCCATTTACAAGTACTATTCTTTAATAGAGAGTATATGTTTGAGTATGTAAAATCTCCCCAATGAAAAGTTATAAGAAGATGAAGTTAGTAAGTATGTGTGGGTCATTAAGGACAGCCTGGCCTGGTTTATTCGAGCTGATGTATGTATCTTTGGGAGGTTAAGATATGTTTGTGTAAGTCTCCTTATAGTGCAGAACTGATGCTGAAAATCTAGTGCTATCAATGATGAAGCTGGGCATTAACAGGAAGTGGGCCTGGCAATCTCAGCCAAGGGACAGAACCCAAAGCCTTCCTCACAGGGGCTGCACCTAAAGGCCAAAGGTAAAGGAGTATGAAGGGAGACCTAAGAAAAAACGAAGTAGTTTAGACAGAGGGGAAACAGTACATTTCTTACACCCTGAACAGCAGGGTCCAAAGGAACATTTTAACAGGTAACAGATTTAAGGTTTATGAAGACTGTATCTGAGGGTGAGTGAGGGTGGGGGGAGGAGAGGGGTGTTTAATGATTGTTAAAATTCCAAGGCCTTTCTATACTGCAACGATTTTAGAGTTATTGTTGTACAAATGTATCACCCACACCTGTAGGCCTGTATATAAACAGCAACTTGTCATTACTTTGGTTTTCAAAAAAAAAATTAAATATATGTAAATACAGAAAAGTATTTTCTTACAATCCCAAATAAAATGATATTATTTATTCAAAGAAAAGATTTATTATACAGTAAACGTTTAAGTAAATAAGCTTCAACTGTTTTCAATTGATTTTTAATTTTTCCTGTTAGGTATTTTAACAACACATACATACAAATATTGCCTGATTTTAAAACATTACACTTAATGCTTGCTGACAAATCTCCAATTTTCCCTTTCATTCAACCAAATTACATAAGACTTTATGACTTTCACAGCTACTGAATGGAATCAAGTCACTTCAGGACAAAAGACATGTTTGTTCTAATCAAGGAAATTAGTCCCCTGGAATCTGACATTGCAAATTGTGTTACATTTTAATCTTTATTAGCTTTGCACATCGTTGAATTTCAACAAAATATTTGCACTCATTTTCCTCCATGAAAAATCAGAACTAAATAATTAAACCACGTGTTAACATGTCTGAAGCAATCCTAGATTTACTCACAAAGTTTTCATGCTTTAAAATGTTTTTCTCTCTTAGTGAATTCATTTCATTTTTAAACAGAAATACATAAAAATTAAATCTGTATGAAAATGATTTAAACAATTAAAAATCAGTGGGTTGACCTACATTGTATAAGTGATTGAATTACAGAGCTGAGATATTTTGTATTTAATTGTTAACCAATCAATATACGCCCTTATCTAGCGACATGAAATGTTCATAGATCTGTTACAACTGTGTAACTGACCAGCTAGCAGGGGGAACACTTTGAAATAATACATTGACTAATGGTCGTCTTTAGAGAAAAGGATGAAAAAAAGTAAACTGAATGATGAAACCATCTGAAACCATCTGCAAAGGAAGTTACCAGAATGGAAAAAGATTTACAGAAAATGATGGTACAGTCTTAATTCATTGAAAGTTTGCAAAATAATGGCAGAACAGGGGATTTAACACATCAAAGTCCTTGGTTTACAAAGTTCAAATGTGACATCAATCACGTTAGGGAAGATGGACACTAAGAAGAATAAATAATTACATGGTCAAACCTTAAACCTAAACTTTATACACAATGTAGTAACGGTTTGTAAATCAAATATGGATTTGTTTATTTTTCATGTTGAGCACCTGAAAACATATGACCTTGAAATAAAAGCCCTATTAATGAAGAGAAATCCATTTAGGACTGAACAATTTAAATCTTAACAACCACATTCGGATCTTAAAGTGAATCATGACATTACCCGCTGTTCATTGTCAATCTTAATTAATATCAATTGAATTCCTGGCTTTTTAAAAATAAGTCTTCTCATAGAAATTTGGAACAAAGACAGCCGCTTAGAACTGGATCCCAAATGAACTGGTGCATAACAGATGCAACACAACTTTCTGATATAAAATAGTAAAAAGAAATGTATTCATCAGGTTACAATTTGAAACTTGAGAGTATAAAGTCCAAAAACCATGATAATTTCTGTCTACACATTGAAGGTTTGTCAACCCATGACGGTCACCTGAGATAAGCAATACTGAATATAAAGGTTAAAGGGTAAGTAGCTTTCAAGTGTCACAAAAAAAGTATTGTGACATTGATGATAGCAAGCTAGCATCTATACATGCTATAGTAATAAATCTTAGAAAGTTATGTGAAAAAAGGCTTTTTGGTAATTAAAGCATCTAAAGACACTTCCATCCTCGAAGAGCATTTGAATCAACCAGACCTGAGTTTTGAAATCTGAGTGAATTTGACCCCTTTTGGCTCCATCCATCAGCCCCTTGAGGTCAACCAGGATCAATATCGGTATATCATCAGGCTGTCATCCTTAGCTTATAATTCTAACCAAGTTTGAAATATTTCTAACGATAATTCAACAAATTACCCTAAAAAATCTAGTTTTCCTTTATAAACTATAGTAAATTTTACCCACTCCCCACAGAGAAATGTGAGACCCTGGGGCCATGGAATTTTTGTAAACCACCTTAAGATGATTCCATCCATGAAGAACATTTGATTCTACCATACCTGGATGTTGAAAAGATTTAAATAAATTTGACCTCGCCCATCGGGCCTCCATGGATTGGGGACTATATAATTCACTATCTTGTTTCATCTTAGGCCAGGAAAGCTTTCTGCAAATTTTCAATGAAATTGGTATGGGAGTTTTTGAGAAGACATTGAAGATGTTGAATTCTTTAAGAATGCATGACTAAGATGCCAGATGAAGGTGATAGAGGTCAGCATGTGACTTTGTCTCAGCTGTCCTAAAAACATTGTGTTATAACTTGAAATCATTAACCTCTGGTTGTAAAGTCACTCGTACATCAACAATGGTTTTATCCAAAAACTGGAAAAACAAGGGAATAACTCTAAACAAGAAGAAATACCCTACTTTGTATAAATGTATCTTCTACGTTTACACGGTACAAGTTGAAGTCTCGCTATAGTTTCTTTATAATTACAACTAATTTATTAAAAATATTATTTATCATCACAGCATATATTTACTAGGATTCTATAATCTTCTTTCACATCAATTAACATGAAGTGAAAAAAGTGCCATACCAACCACTGACAATTGTTGTGTGGTACGTCATACCAACCACTGACAATTGTTGTGTGGTAAGTCGTACCAACCACTGACAATTGTTGTGTGGTAAGTCATACCAACCACTGACAATTGTTGTGTGGTAAGTCATACCAACCACTGACAATTGTTGTGTGGTACGTCATACCAACCACTGATAATTGTTATGTGGTAAGCCATACCAACCACTGACAATTGTTGCGTGGTAAGCCGTACCAACCACTGACAATTGTTGTGTGGTAAGCCATACCAACCACTGACAATTGTTGCGTGGTAAGCCGTACCAACCACTGACAATTGTTGTGTGGTAAGTCATACCAACCACTGACAATTGTTGTGTGGTAAGTCGTACCAACTACTGACAATTGTTGTGTGGTAAGTCATACCAACCACTGACAATTGTTGTGTGGTAAGTCATACCAACCACTGACAATTGTTGTGTGGTAAGTCATACCAACCACTGACAATTGTTGTGTGGTACGTCATACCAACCACTGATAATTGTTATGTGGTAAGCCATACCAACCACTGACAATTGTTGCGTGGTAAGCCGTACCAACCACTGACAATTGTTGTGTGGTAAGCCGTACCAACCACTGACAATTGTTGTGTGGTAAGTCATACCAACCACTGACAATTGTTGTGTGGTAAGCCGTACCAACCACTGACAATTGTTGTGTGGTAAGCCGTACCAACCACTGACAATTGTTGTGTGGTAAGCCGTACCAACCACTGACAATTGTTGTGTGGTAAGCCGTACCAACCACTGACAATTGTTGCGTGGTAAGCCGTACCAACCACTGACAATTGTTGCGTGGTAAGTCATACCAACCACTGACAATTGTTGTGTGGTACGTCATACCAACCACTGACAATTGTTGCGTGGTAAGTCGTACCAACCACTGACAATTGTTGTGTGGTACATCGTACCAACTACTGGCAATTGTTGTTTGGTAAGTCATACCAACCACTGACAATTGTTGCGTGGTAAGTCATACTAACCACTGACAATTGTTTAAGTCATACCAACCACTGACAATTGTTGCGTGGTAAGTCATACTAACCACTGACAATTGTTGTGTGGTAAGTCATACCAACCACTGACAATTGTTGCGTGGTAAGTCATACTAACCACTGACAATTGTTGTGTGGTAAGCCATACCAACCACTGACAATTGTTGTGTGGTAAGCCATACCAACCACTGACAATTGTTGTGCGGTAAGTCATACCAACCACTGACAATTGTTGTGCGGTAAGTCATACCAACCACTGACAATTGTTGTGTGGTAAGTCATACCAACCACTGACAATTGTTGCATGGTAAGCCATACCAAACACTGACAATTGTTGTGTGGTAAGTCATACCAACCACTGACAATTGTTGCATGGTAAGCCATACCAACCACTGACAATTGTTGTGCGGTAAGTCATACCAACCACTGACAATTGTTGTGCGGTAAGTCATACCAACCACTGACAATTGTTGTGTGGTAAGTCATACCAACCACTGACAATTGTTGCGTGGTAAGCCATACCAACCACTGACAATTGTTGCGTGGTAAGTCATACCAACCACTGACAATTGCTGCTTGGTTGAGAATTGTGGTAGATATATATATATATATATATTGTTGGTATCTCTAAACATGGTGAAGTGGGTTCTATTCTCCTATAGAAGGAGAAAGT